CAAAGGCAGTCCTGGTCTTCTCCAAATTACTGAGAAGTAGCGATGTCATTTAAGAACTAAGGTGCTCCTGATTTAGACCATGATCTTCTCAATGACTTCCTATACATCTGAAAGCTTGACAATGAATACTGAAAACAAAAGAAGAATGTATATCTTTCAACTGTGGTGTTGAAGAAGAGTACTGAATATCCTATGGACAAGAACAAATAGGTTATGTCTTGGAAAAGGTGCAGCCAGAGTGCTTCCTGGAGGCAAAGACGATGAGGCTTCGTCTCCCTACTTTGAGGATGTTGCTAAGAAAGATTATTCACCTGAGAAGGACATCACGCTTGGGAGGGTAGAGAGCCAATCAAGGACAGGAAGACACTCAACCAGGTAGACAGACACAGTGACCGTAGCAATGGGCTCAAGCGTGTTAGAGATTGCGAAGTTGGCACACAATAGCACAGGGTTCATATGTGTTTGTTGCTCACAGAGTCACTATGAGACATATTCTACTCTACAGAATCTAACAACAACCACTCTTCATTTCAATCTGAAACTTGTCCCAACCTTTTAAAGAACTTTATTCGTAAGATTAAATCCTAAAAGAAGAAAATATGACTAAGGTGAGTCACAAAATGTAACTTTCCTGTTACTGTTTTAGTGTATTTATACCATAAAATAGAGAGCTAGTGTTTAGATGGCCCCCAACTCGTGACAATTTATGTACAACAGAATAAGTGGTGCCCAATCCTGCTTCATCCTCTCCGTGCTAGCAGGTTCAAATCCATCCTTTTAGCTATTGTGTCAGTCCAAATAAAGAAAGATGACAGTAGAAATACCATTTGATCTAGCAACTCCACTACTAAGTATAAATCTCAAAGAAATAAGAACGACAGCTCATAACCGTGTTCATTGCAGCACTATCTATTAACAGTCAAGAGTTGGAAAGATAAAAAAAAGTTGGAAAGAACTCAAGTGCCCATTAAGGGATAATTGGCTAAAGAATTATTATATACTCACACAGTAAAGTATTATGTATCATTTTAAAATTATCAAAATTTTGTACAATATTGCACAGCATGGATGAAACTAAATAAATTATACTGAATGGCATAAATAAGTCACAAAAGGATGATAATGGTATAAGACAACTACTACAAAAGACTAAGGAAAGTTTTAGCAACAGATAGAATCAATCTTGGAGGGTTAACAGAAATAAACAAGGGAGAAGGGAGAATAAATTGGAGAAAGACACCAAGCTCAGAAAAGTAGAGGGTGAGAAGGAGGGTAAGACCCTCAACAAGAAGGATTAACACAGTGAGTGCCACAATGGGATCTAGTGTGGCAGAGAGAATGAGGGTGGCACAGGATAAGGCAGAGTTCAGATCTCATGGCGCTATGAGTTGCACTCAACTAAATGCCACCTAGCAACAACAAAAACAGTGGGTGGGTGAGTGGGTGTCTATTTATCCAAAACAATATTACAATGAAATGTGCAAGGAGTTGGAGTCAGAAAATCAAAAGGGCTGAACTCGCTCAGCAT